TTATCAAGTGAACTTAGTAAAAACCACTTATCACCAAATGCAATTCCTAGCATATGCTCAGATAGTATTTTTTATGTAAGTAAGCCTCTATGTCAGTTTCTGAAAATATCACCATGTACAAGGGCGTACAACTTTCTCGGAGGTAGCTTTCCCCTATTAGGATCATATACTGGTAACGAGAGAGATGTCACTCCTCTCTCAACCAGAAAATCCCTAAGTCGATTCAAGGCCAATACCAAGCTCTCTGGATCTACGTGTTGCCTATCGGTGGCCTTAGTGACCAGGAAACACAAATATTTCCCTGGTATCTGTGATGCAACAGGGGGCAGCGCTATCATCCCTCCCACACCAGGCCTCTGTTTCCATAAAAGTTCGATGTTCTTATACTCCCTTTTGAAATCCGCCGCTAGTGCTGTTTTGAAGCTTACGTCCGCGGTTATCGCTATAGCGCATGTGCGTTCCGTGAGTATGAAATCGCTGTCCGTTATGACGATATTGTTCGAATAATGGTTCGGTAGATCAAAATACGATTCAAAGATTCGTCCAAAAGGTGGTGTTTTAGCATTCTCGCCCTCTGTCTCTAGTTCTCCGGTTTCTCTTGCCGATTTCATTTTTTTTATTATCAGATTTTTGGTGTGGGTGAGTCCTACCCCCACTCCCCGGACAAAAATATCCATCGACGTCCCCGTCAATCGCCCAAAGTCTAGAAGATCGAGGTTGGATTGTGGAACAAGTAGAGGACCATCTGGGGCGACCCAGTAGGACTCGGTATTGTCATGACTGACGTATTTGATGCAGTCTTTATCGACGTCCTGAATCATCAGGATCGTCTCTTTTGGATCTGTCGGCAGATCATGGAGCCATTCGAGCACCCGCAAGTTCGTTAGTTCTTGCTCATGAGTCTGTTCCGCTTTTGGTTCGAACTCCACTTTCGGTTCTCATCGATCGTCGATCCAATCCTGATCCATTTCATTCACCAAGTCGATATCTTCTAACACCACCACTTTGTCCAGTCCTACCAGCGAGTCCATCAGATCACTCACAACTATCCTGTCTACGACGATATCCTCGCCGTACGGATTGTATTTCTTCTTGTTTTTTCCTCTCTTGCTCTGGCGTGTTTCCATGGTGAGAGGAAAGTCAGGCTGTATTCCTTTGTCAATTTCGATTTGTTCCGGGCAGTCCCAGTCTTCCTCGACATAAGGTAGAGTTTCATCGTCAGCCTCTACTCGCTCAAACAACTCCAGATCCAGTGGTAGGTCGCAATCGTCCACCACCTCCTTCCCGTCGTTTTTGTCGCGAGTACCCCTTTCATTCACCTCACAAGCAGGATCACTATCAAATAGTCTCCCTCTTGCATGTCCGCTGGGGTGCACCAGTCCTCTGACGAGGCATTGTGTGGTTTGATATTTTCGTAATGAGCTGCTCTTCCAGTGCTCAATCGATAAAAACGACCTCCTTGGTGCACCTCTGTTATCTGAAATGGACCACGCCAATTCTTTAATAATTTCTTGGTTCCTTTTGGTGGAACCACTTCCTGGAACAACCAGACGTAGTCGCCAACTGAGTAGGCTTTTGCATCGGCTGTCCTTTTATCAAACCTCCTTTTTGTCTAATTTGCGATTGTTGCGTGTTCCTCCTGCATAAGTCATTGAGGTCCTGCTGTCTTCTAATAACATCCCGCACGTACGTTTGCGGTGCTGTTCTCTTCCCCTCATATTCAGGGTAGAAAAACGTCAACGGAAGTGCTTTTTCGTGACCCGTTAGCATCATGTGCGGACTTATTCCCGTGGTAATATGCTCCGTGCTGTTGTAAGCACCCATCACTTGCGGCAAGTGCTTGTCCCAGTCATCTATGTAGCGTGAGCAATAGACTCTCAGCATGGATACCAGTGTGCGATTTTGCCTCTCGACTAGGCCATTCGTTTGCGGGTGATAAGTGGTCGAGTGGGCCTGCGCTACCTGCGACCTTTTCATTAACTCCTTCGTGAGATCACCCACGAATGCTTTGCCATTGTCCGATTGGAATGTGATGGGGCAGCCACGCCTCGCTATCCACACATTTATCAAATGATCGCATGTTTCTTCCGCCAATGCTGTCATGCAGGGTGCTGCCTCCGCATATTTCGAAAAAAAATGGTCGATCATTACCAGCACCTGATTATAGCCCGTTGCTGTCATGCAGATTTTCTGATGATCAATTTGCACCACTTCGTTGAATCCTGACGACTCTATTGACTGTAAGGGGAACCTTAGTTTCCTGGGATCCTTCGCCTGTTAACATGACAGGCATGCGGCGATCCACTTCTCGCTAGCCTTCTTCAATCCCGGCCATTCGAATCGTTTCTGTATCCTGTTGTACACTTTGTCCACGCCTTGATGGCCCATCTGATCATGTGAACGAAAGAGCAATTCGGTCTGATACAACTGTGGTAACACTATCGAATTGTATTTATAAAGGACCTTGTCCTCCTCTTTACGTTTACAGGCTACAATTCCGTCCTTGTTCAGGTATAACAAGTCTTTTCTCTTCAGGTAGAATTGCTTCAAGATCTTGTAGCTGTCTTCTTCCAAGTCTCCCTTATCAGGTGCTCCATTCTCGACCCATCTCTTCAGACTGCTCGTCATTCTATCATTTAGTTGAGCCCTTAAGAGATCCGACAGCCTGTACCTGGCTTTCAATTACGCCTTTACCACGTTCATTTGCCCACTCATTATTTCCGGAGCATGAGCATCGTCCATCAACTTGACACACCATATCTTTTTCAAAGGCGTCGCTTCCTGCACAGATGGTTCCAGATTGGTACGGACGACCGTACCATGTGACAGCAATCTGGTTGGGCGTTTCGAGACTGCTATCAGCTCGAGCTCATCGGCGGCATTATCTACCACAGCGAAGCTAGATCTCGACTTGATCCTGACTTCCTCAGTGGCTTGGGTCTGATTCAGTGTCCCATGTTCAGTGAACGAAGTTCTCAACAAGACCTCCTTCGGCATCGAGCTCACCATCTGGTTGACTATCGACCTGCAATCCCGTTCAACACCTCGGCTGCGAATGGACACTGGCCTCTTCTCTGTTCTCTCAGTGACAGTAGACCGCTGCATGGGCTCCATCCACTCACGATCATGCCTATCCACTTCCATGTCCAATAAGTCACGGAGCTTCCCCACGACGTCCGGCGCCACGCTCACCGTCCTGTTCAATAGAGCCATGCTGTTTATACCCAGCCTGGTAAGTTCTTGCTGTACCAAATTGGATCGGACTAGCAGATCCAGCGGAACGGGCTCGCCTCTGGCTAAAACCTTTATCTCCGCGGCCGTCTCCACTGGAAGGTCAGGGTGTCCGAGTATAGGATGTCTTGACTTGTCTAACCACCTAGTAAGTGGCAGTTTGTCGTAGGTTTCCTTGTCCAGAAATGAAAACCCGTCTTTGATTTCCGATTGGTTAGCCTGCTTCTCCTCGAGGCGCTCATAGAATTCTGTCTTTTTACTGAGGCTATCTGCGTTCTGGTGCTTATCACGGGTACGGTGCTCTATGATCATGTAGTATCCATCCAGGCGCACGATCCAACGACCAATATAACTTTGGTCCATCAAATGGGTTTTCAGCCAGGCAAGGGCACGATTATCCACACGTAACTTGAAGGGAGCACTCCCCAAGTAGGCCCTGTATTTTTCCACGAAAGTGATCACCGCGAACATCTCCGCTTTTGTTGCGCCGTACTTCATCTCAGTATCACTCAGGACTTTACTCCCGTAGGCTATCGGACGAAGAACCGTTTTTCCGTTCCACTCCTGCTACTGGTGAAGTATGCCCGATTTCGCAACCACTGATTCATCCGTGTCCAGCACGAACATCGCCTTCTCTGTTGGCATGCCGAGGACCGGTGCCTCGCAAAGTTCACGTTTGATGTTCTCAAATGAAACTTGTGCCTCATCAGTCCAAGTAAACTTTTTGCCCTTGTTTCTCATCAACCGCTGCATGGGGTATATTTTGTCAGCGTAACCCTTGATAAATTCTCGATAATAATTAGCAAACCCCAAAAAACTCATCAGCTGTGTATCTGTTGCAGGTGCCTTCCAGGTCAACACCGCTTCAACCGCTTCAGGATCTGGTCTCACTCCATGTTTATCCACCAGGCGGCCCAAATACTTTATAGAATCTCTGAGGATTTCACACTTAGAGGGTTTGCATTTCAGACCCGCCTGCTTCATGCAAGAAAACACCTCATCCAACCTCTCTATGTGGTCTTCTAAGATTGGTGTTGCAATCACGACATCATCGACATAACACATGATGAGGTTCCCGTATTTCTTAGTGACGCTCGTGAGTGCCTGGGCCATCAGTCGCTGGAATGTGGCCGTCGCGTTGCACAATCCGACTGGAACAATCCCAGCTCGCACGCGAAGTCTGTTTTTTCTCGATCTTGCTTTCGGAGTGGCACTTGCCAGAATGCAGAGCCCAAATCTAACGTCGTGAAGAACTTCACGTCTCCCAGCTTGGATAGGCTCTCATCGATGCGGGGAATCGGGTATGCGTCCTTTATAGTTACTGCGTTCAGATAACGGACATCACAACAACACCTGAGTTGCCCCCTTTCTTTTTCGCCATGACCACGCCACAAGCCCACGGGGGCCTCGACGGCTCGATCATGTCATACTCCATTAACATCTGAATTTCCTTCCTGCACGCTTCTGACTTATTAGGGGTCATTCTCCTCGCCCCTTCCCTATGAGGTACCGAGCCCTCTTCTATCTCAATCTCGTGTTCTACAAAATTACAGCAACCTATGTCGGCCTTATGTTTCGAAAAAATGTCTGCGTTCCGACTTAGCACCGCCCTGAGCGAATCTAGTTCCTTGTCTGATATTTTACCCTTCAAATGTTCTATCTCAGGTAGGGCCAGTTTATTCGCTGCTAATTCTGCTTCTGTCGGCCTCTCGGGAAAGTTGGAACAACTAGACAACCCATCATCTGTTTCCGACTTCATTAGCCTAATTGTTGTGATAAACTTATTAAATAGCTTCAGATAAGTAATAGTACGATTTATCTTGATCGTCACCAGCATCTGGGACAATGATTAAAAGACGAGATTCCAACAACTACATAAAGAAAGAAATAGGGTGCTCCAGTGACTGCTGTGATATATGGACAACAGTTTCATTGCCAAAATCTATCGCCGTTTCAACTCTAGAAAAAGCAGACTTTCTTTGTGGTTTTTTTGCCACAAAAAGACTAGCAGAACTTAAAGTGCATCATAAAACGAAGACTGAAGCCTCTTACGCCGAAATTACGAAGAATATGAAAAACAGCAGTCTCTGCGCCACCATTGTTGAACAGGTTAAAGCGGAAGAAAAACAACAAACGAAAAAATCAAACAACCTTGTTATCCGTGGTTTGAAAGCCGACAAAGATCAAACCGACAAAGAGATGCTAACAGATTTAGCTAGTGTGGTTTCTGTCACACTTAAAGAAGACGAATTTACAACACGCCGAATCAAGAACAAAAACAACGCCAATGCGAATCCGCTCCTCATCATTACGTTCAAAGACGCCATAACACATCTAAAACTACTGAAAAGTAGCAAAAAATGAAAGATTGTGATGAATTTAAGGGAGTATTTATCAGCCCTGACTATACAAAGGCCGAACAAGCACAATGGTATGAGCTACGACAAGAGCTGAGAAGCAAAGAGAGACTGACTCGGAAAAAACATGGTTTATCAGAAACAATATGGTGGTTTCACTATGACTACAGCAGTCAATGAAACCTAACACAGAAGAGCCGAAAGGAATTCTGTGGAACATAGAAGGTTCTAAGACAAACATTCCACTACTGACAAACAATGAACTCGACACGGATATAATACTACTAACAGAAACGCTAGCTACACATGACATCTCTTGCCTTTTACCAGGTTTTTACTGTTACTTTGCCGAAGCCGTGAAGCCACAGAGAGGACGGCCTATGGGAGGCTTATCTATTTGCGTCAGCAAGAGCCTAGACTGCAGAAGCACCGAGTTCTATAGAAATGAAAATATGGAGTGTGTATCTCTTATTTTACTTACCATCATTGTTTGCTACTACCCACCGAACACCTGCGTTGATGATATTCTTATTGACATCTGTCAATTCCTAGACACAGTGCCCACCTGTGCAAAAATCCTACTCGGTGGCGATTTCAACTGTCGCATTGATGGTGATCACGTACGGGGTGAGATCCTATGTGAAAACCTACAATTTGCTGGCCTTCACTGCATCAACTCTCCAGAAAATTGCACTTTTTATTCCCACAACGGCTCGAGTACGATTGATCTTTTCTTTGCAAAAAATATAACAGCAACAATTCCGGCTACGCAACAAATGTTTCAGACAAAACACCAGATTGTTTCCTGCAGAGTAGTTTTTCATGCCGGGAAAGTCGACAAGAAGAAACAGCACGCCCTCCTCTTCGACCCTAACACCTACGAACAGCATCAACTTGTCATGTATGACAACTTGTCAGAGTCAAATAATTGCAACTCTCATTTCCTTAAATTAAGCTACAACATTTCGAGACCACGCAAGAAGAGACATTCAAAGCCGTGGTTCGACAGGCACTGCTACCAAGCGCACAAAACTTTGAAACTACAATGGTACCTAACAATTACCGTAGAAAGCAGTTTGGGGAGCTACTCTCAAGCGAAATGGTCTTTCAAGGCACTATGCAGAAAAAAACGCACAGCACACGAGAAAGATCGCGAAGAAACTATTATTATCACTGCAAAAGCTGACCGATCCAAGTTTTGGAGCATTTTGAGTAGCAAGAAACACCCCAACATGCCCTCTCAAGTACAACAAGACGTGTGTATTACTCATTTTGAAGCCTTATTCGAAGGCGAGAGAGACGTTAGCTTCCCAGAAGAACCCAGTTCATGCGAGTACTACGACCTGGACCGCCCAGTTTCTCTACCAGAAGTTACACAAGCAATATCAAGACAAGCCAACAACAAAGCTCCAGGACCTGATATGATTGCCGGTGATTTTTTGAAACAAATATTTGGTCTCCTGTATTTGCATATTTTTACGCTGTTCCAGGTCTGTTTTGACTCAAAAGCCATTCCCAATGCCTGGCGAGTGTCAAATCTGATACCGCTTTACAAAAGAAAAGGCAGCAAAAAAGATCCGGATTGCTACCGGGGCATAGCCCTCTTAAACTGTATATATAAATGTTATACATCGATACTCCACCACCGGCTAGCTACTTGGTGCGAACAGCATGGAAAAATTCCAGGCGTCCAGTATGGCTTCCGTAGAGGTAGATCAACCATTCATGCCATTAGCATTCTCAGGGAGAACATTGACACATCAATCGCAACAAATGGCCACCTCTATGCGTGCTTCATCGATTTCCGTAAGGCTTTCGACAGCATTGATCGCTCTACTTTATTTCAAAAATTGGCGAAGATGGGTGTATCCAACAATTTTCTGCTCGTCCTACATGATATCCTACGTCACAATATGGTACATGTTGTTTATGATGGTTATCTATCTTCCCCGATACTCCAGCGGCTTGGTCTACCACAAGGAGACAAACTCTATCCTCTTTTGTTTTCCCTGTTTATTGCTGATTTGGCAGAAATTTTTGTTCAGTGTAAGTGATTCTGCATATTCTATGCAGACGATGTAGTAATCACTTCATCATCACCATTTGACATCCAGTTGGCCCTTTACAGGCTCGGTATTTACTGTAAAATCAACAACATGAACGTTAATGTCGGTAAGACAAAAGTCATAAAATTTCGCCGCGGAGGCAGATTGAAGAGTACAGATCGCATCTACTACATGGGGGAAGACATTGAATTCACCAACTCCTTCGAATACTTGGGGGTTATTCTGACGGTCACCAACAAGAAAACCGCCCACTTGAATGAAAGACGAAGAAAAGGTATAAACAACATCAACGCCTTGTTTGCAAAAGTCAATATTCAAAAACTACAGCTCCAGCATGCACACAGACTATTCATGAGTGTTATTCTGCCATCAGCTGCTTACGGTTGCAGCATTTTTACAGAAAGTTTAGAGCACGCGAAACCAGTTGCAGGGTACTTCTGGAAACGCTGGTCTGGGTTATCCAAATATGCGTCTACTAGCCGACTGCTACATCACATTTTTGAAAACGACTTTCTGAACATCGAAAAACCAACTGGGCAAACGCGCCGAGCCATAGCCAGCTACTATAACAACGGCCTACATAACGCGATTTGTAAGACTGAACGCTGCTACAAACCGGACTGCTCATGTGATTGTAAATATTGTGACTCTACAGCTGATAACTACAACCACCTGATAGACAACTGCTCGTATCTCAAGGATCTACAAACTAGAACGCGGTTGGTGAAATCCTTCATAGACGGTGAACATTATAGTTTTACTTTAAAAACTCATTTATCTCATTTGAGGTGTTTAAATTAAACTTTTTCTCTCTCTCACTTCATTGAAAACAATTTCCTAGAAGAATTCAATTAATTTACTCTCTTCAATATACATTCTTGGTTCGCATTCAAGGGACATTTGGTTACATCAAACTTTTTCAAGTTCTCCACACTCTGAAAGTCTGTGTTCAGAGGCAAAGCAAGCCAAGTTTATTTCCCCTCTGTATTGTCACTGTTGTTGCTTCTGTGTTCAACAACACACTCACACACAGTCCGCTCTGAGTGAGTGAGAAGCTTCTTCCTAAAATAGCCGAGCTTTTACTGTTTGGATTTGGTACCAGACACACCTGTCTGTCATTGCTGAGTTCATTCAAGTTCCTCATCCTAAACGTCGCTACTACGGCTTGGTTTGGTTTTAATCTAACTTTTCGATCCAGAAAAAATCGGCACCTTGGCCTGGTTAATTAAGATCTTATTAAGGGGTTTCTTTTCATACTTTCTCTCAGGATCCTTGATCCTAATCAACCCGTCATTGAGATCGATCGTGACATCAAAGTTGCGTACAAAGTCCCTTCCTAAGATGAACTGATCGGATTCGTCCAAATTCTCCACTACTAGGAAGCTCATCCAAAGATGTCTTCCTCCGAGCTGCAGTGAAATGATCGGGGTTCGTCCAGTCACATAGATCACTCCCTGATTGGCAGCTGCCAACCTGATGTTTGTCGGTATGAGATCCGACCTCTCGAAACCCATGTCGGTCCAAGTTTTGACTGGCATGACACTAACCACTGCTCCCGTGTCTAGCAGTCCCTTTAATGAAAGTTGTCTGCCTTGCACGTCCAGCACGTGTGCGGCCAGATCGGCCTCGCAACCTATGTGCACCGCATCTTGTTCGAGCATGGCGTTGTGTCCGATTCGTCTAACCTTCAGCTCCTCTTGACCAATGTATATCCGGCCAATCTGATCGTTCGCATCAGTTACGTGAGCTTTTGTGTAGATATTGATGCCATCCACATTCATTAGAACCGGGTATGGGCCATGGACTTCGATGTAATGTCCATCCACTTTCATCAGTCTCGGACCTCCTGTTGTGAGCAGCGCTCGCACTGCCCTGGAGTCCAGTTTGGGATCTTTCTCCTTCAGGTAGTCTGCATAAATGTCCAGGTGGACTAGTGTAATCCCGGATGGTTCACTCAAGTTCTTGACCACCTGGTGCCCTGCGACTGAGATAATGGACATTATCTTCGTCCCCTCCTTCGTCATGCTAAAAGTTTTACCAGATATAACGTTCAGTTTTAGCCCCTGCTTCCTGGGTTCCTCTTTGTCTTCTTTTTTCGTCGTTTTACCCAGAATGTTAAAATTTTCCCGAAGATCCGTGCTCTCCAGCTCCGACCTTACCCATTGCTCCACTTCTCTGGTGGCTAGCTCCTGTTTGACATTCTGCAACGCTGTCCTTGCCGCCAGACCGTAATCCACCTTGAGTGGGCTAGCCGACTCTGCCTCCAGGTTCGAGGCTACCACCTCGTCAGGCAGTGTCTTTACCTTCTTAGTCGTAAAGGTGCTCGGTGTCGTCTCCTTTTTCCGAGACTCGGCTTCGTTCATCAGA